CAGAGTCCGCCGTATTCAACGAGTATATCGTGTGCAATAACACGGACGATAACATATCAGTCGATGCAACCCCAGACCCAAGCTGGAACTTGCGACTAAACTCTATTCTATTTGTATAAATCTATCTGTCTAATAAATGAGCTGTGCCATTGACGTGTTTCAGACCACCGCGTCAAACTTTGGCCAACATAATCAAATTTAGCATTTTCTACATAATATCGAAAATGAAGCGGGTATATTAGAAATTATTGAAAAGTTTTGCAAAACCCACGCTAGCACTGGAGGTTTGAAACAGAACCAAGACCGAGCTGCTACTTTGAGTGCCAAATTTCCTACAAGTCAATCCATGTTTCGTAAAAAGGCGCCAGAACTACCAGCAACACACTTTTTGACATTGCACTCAAAAAACTTTCTGCGTTTGAATGCGATGCAAAACAAAAAAGACCCACTTGCTCCCTGCAATGCTGTGCTTGTCAAATACATAGTAAACTTACCCTTGACAGAGCAACGGACCAGCGACTTGCTGAATGATACACAAAGATTTCAGATTGTTGCTTAATTTTGGAAATATTGAAATCGATTCGCCTGACCTAGTTGTCGTTTGAGGTATAGAGATTGGTACCACTTGGCATACCGCAAAACTCGAACTGTTCATGAATATCCAATGATGGATTGCGAATGCAGCTCGCCTAAAGAAAAATGTTACTTTTTGTTTTGACATGGTGTCTTCACGTAAATGTATTTGGAGGACCCTAACAAAACTAATTAAAACGAAAAGCCATACCGTGGAATCCTGGATACCTCTAACATTATAAGGCTGCAGTGCCGTTTGGGTGGATGAGTGAATGAGAGAAAGGGAGAAAGTGGGGCAGCTATCAGCGGTTCAGTAAATAAAAAAACCACCACTACGGTGCTTTTTTTTTTATGGTGCAACATCTTAGCGCAGGTATATTTGGATAACCTTAACAAAACAATTTAAAATAAAAAGCCTTGCCATGGAAATCTGGGGGTCCCTATATTTTAAGACCGCAATGCCGGTTAGGTGGGTGGGAGGAAAGGAGGAATGGCGGGGGGGCTATCAGTGGCGTCGAATCCCGATTGACCAGAAATGGAATGAATGAAGTAGTTGAGGCGGCTATCAGCAATGGGCGAGTTGCGGAATGAAAGAGTCCCACTGAGCTCGTCCCCGCCTGGCTCGAAATGGTACCACCGGTTAGACACCTTTAACCAGCGATACCACCCCCGCGGCGCGCACAACGCTTAAAAAGCTACTCGTTGGAAAGTGATCATTAGTATACGTTATCGTAGAAAATCTTTAAAGAGGTCAGTATGGCCGAGTGGTTAAGGCGACAGACTTGAATTATATGAGCAATCTGTTGGGCATTGCCCGCGCAGGTTCAAATCCTGCTGCTGACGTTTATTTTTAATTTTTTATTATTTTTTTCATGAATCAGAATCGCTATTTCTATTGCTGCTGCTGCTGTTGTATTCGTCGTCGAGAGGACTAATCCGTGGCGGAATCACTCCGGCGTCTTCAAGCGCTATTCTTTTGGTCAGGAGCGGAAGAGTAATATAGCACACAAAATTGTCACGCAGCAACGAGTCGACAAACTCGTCAACATATGTCAGTTCAAACGGACCGTCTGATGTGCGCACTCTCAGTTTGCGGTAGTCACGGTAAAGAGGCTCCAGCCTGCTATACACATCTTTCGAGGGCTGTGTGAGGCGAAAGTAGAGCGCTGCAAGTGCTCGTAGGTATTTGAAATCCGTCTGGTCCAGCAACGCATCGATCATCTGCCGATCTGGCTGCAGCTGTAGCAACTTTAGCATCAGACACAAGAACTCTGTCGGCTTGCGGTTGGCACCGTAGCAGCCGCCAATGCTTTTCAGGTCGACTGCCTTTTCCATGACGCCAGTTACCGTAAGACCAAAGCAATGCTCTTTCCAGTAAAGCGAATCGTAGATCCGCTGGCGGTATGCCTTTTCGATGAGGTACTGCGGGTTTGTTCCATGGATAGACTGAGCTGTAGCAACCGTGCGATTTGCCATTTTTACACAACAATAATAAAGCCAAGTGAAATGCGTGCTGTGAGGGGGGAGGACATTTGACATAGAAATGTAAGGGATTCTCGACTAGATTTGAACAAAAAAAAACACCAAGCTACCTACTAGTACGATCCACCCTTATGGTTCAAGTCACCATTGTTTCTCTCGGACATGACGATGCCAGCAGTGCCGTGTTTGCGATGTATATTCTCTAATGCAGCTCCGCGTTCGTGGGCCGTGCTGCTTGTGGCCATTTCCATCTGCTTGCGCTCCTTCTCGCGCTTCCTCATCACCCTATCGATCTTGTTTTTGCCGCTGTAGTGGCCGTGGAACGCATGCGACAGCTGCTTGTACGCTTCCTTGGTGGTCAGCTTGCGGCCGGTATCGTCGTAGTACTCGAGCTTGACATCGGGCTTGTAGTCCTTCATCTGTTCCTCGTACTCGCGTGCCCACTTGCGGTCCAAAAGTTCCTGCTCGTGCGCCTTGAGTTCTTCAATTTCCCGCTGCGACATAGGATCAGCCTTACCTCGGCGCTTCGACCCGCCGCGACCATCATCAGCAGAGGTAGCTTCTGTGTCTGGAGCGTTATTCATGTCGCGCCCAAGCCGCTTGATGCGCTGGCGCTCCTGTTGCAGCAGCATTTCCCTCTTGCGCTGCTCGGCAAGCCATGCGGTGCGGTTGCGTTGAAGCCGTTCACGATCCTTCTGCTCCTTGCTGAGGTTATCAAGCATGTTGCGTTGGCGGAGCAAGCTGAGCGTGGCAGCCAGTCCCGAGCCAACAGAAGGTTCAGCTTCAAACTCTGCAATCTCGGCATTAGTCTGGTTTGCCAGTCCGAGCTCGGGTTCGTTGCTCTTCTCTTGTTGTTCAATGTTTTTGCTGTCGGCTTCAGGAAGCTCTGCATCAGAGGAAGGCGGCTCCTTCACAGAGCGATGCCGACGACTATCAGCAACCAGCGACTGCTTGATGTTTCTTACCGAAGCCCTCACATTCTGCACAAACTCTATAGTGCTAGACAGAACCAGGTCACTGCTTGAGGATTCGTCCTCAATAGCCGCCGACTCGACGTTGTTAGACTGCGCAACTTGGGATATGATATCTTCAGGCAGAGGTGCGCTTTTGAGCATGGAAGACGCCTTTCGCACCCGTGCAATTGCGCGCTGCAAGTCATCATCGTCATCCGCAAAGTTAGAGTCATCGACCTGCGTTTGTCGAGTCATTAGAGCGTTGACCCGCTCGTTGTCAATAAGGTCATTGACGCTTGTTTTCTTTTCGGTTCTCTTGCGCCGTTTGTCCGTTGCAGAAGACTTTTTGGATTTTTTAGGTTTACGGAAAAGAGAAGCGGCTTCCTCTTGGGTGTAGAAATCGCTTATTTGGCGTGCTGGACCAGCATCGAGCGACTCTCCACCGACAACTTCCGTCTTGTCATCCTCATTCTCTTTTGCTTCTGCCTCTTTGTTCTTTAGCGATAGTAGAATGTCGTTGCGATCGTTGCCATCATCTGCTTCAAGCTCTTCGATTGTATGGTCTTCTAGCGTCAGAACCTGCTCAATGTCGTCGTTCTCTGGATACGAAAGACTACTGCTGGTTGGCCGCCGACGTTTCTGGGGCATCTTGGTATTAATTTTTAAATAGCAAACCAAAGGAGTAAAGAAAGCCTGTGGCTAGTTCTCTTGCGCCAACTAATAAAAAAAACACATTTTCAGACATATACGCTTGCGCCATTTCTCAAGGGCACAATGTGAATTTTGGGACTAGCTCACAGGGCCTTATCCTTGGTGGTTTTGGAAGCAGAATAAGCACACGAACACATGATTCAGATCAGGCTTGGCACACACACGCAAAAAACCCGCGTTTCATTCTCTGCTGATGACGAAAGCCAAACGTGTACACTTTTTTTTTCTTCTAACAGCGTTTCGCTTTTGAAATCCAGTCTTTCTCTTCTTCTTCGTCTTCTCTCTTCCACCATTTTAAAAGTTTTAGCAGCCAAGAGAATTCATCCCCCCACGTTCCACCAGTTAGCTTTATCTAGTTTACTCTTTTTCTATTCCCATTACCACTTGGATTTGTTTTGGAATTATGGACGAGCAGTTCAGACAGTGGAGAATGAAGGCAATCGTAGAGCGTGCAGCGACCTACAGTTCAGGAACGCTGGACTCGCGCGCACTGGCAGCACTCGAGGAGCAGCTGACATACGCCGAGTTCAAGGCGTCTGTGATGCAAGGCGACGACGGAGGACGGCTGCTAGAGTACGTAAATAGCAACGTTATATTCCAAGCAGGAGTTGACTTTGAAAGCAAGCCAATGGTCGTTTTCTGCGCATGCAAGCTGCCCCGCTCCCAGGATGTCGACTATGATCGGATGCTCAATCTGATTATCTTCCGGCTGGATGAGTTTGTGGAGAACGACTACACGGTGGTTCTGTTTACAAGCGGCGCCAAACATAGTCCTGGGTGGCAGTGGATGAGTAAGGCGTACCGCCGCCTCGATCGCAAATACCGGAAGAACGTAAAGAGCCTCTATGTGGTTCATCCGTCAACGTGGTCAAAGGTGCTGTTCCAGGTTCTGGGCCGCATAGTCAGGTAAGCTTGATTTGTTCTGCAGGATTGCACTGCATGAAATTAAGGCTCGGGAAATATAAAGGTCTGGGTTGTTGTTTTTTTCGGTGGTGGTGGTGGTGGCGCCAGCCACGGTTCTTCATGCATGCCGAAAAGAAAGAAGAAAGGTACAGCCCCAGAGATAAGCCTCATGCTCCTTACTTACTGTTTTGGTAAACATCCCTACGGTCTTCCAGAGAGGTCTCCCACCATATCTTGCCTTTCTTGTCTTCCCCCCCCTCCCCTTCCCTTACCCACTTTCTCTTGAAAACGCAAACACTTTTGCACCCGATACAAAATTATTAATATTGTTCTCTCTCTCCTCGACATATTACCACTTGGAACAAAACCGCGGTCTCTTTCTTTTATTTGTGTTTATAATGGCCACCGGCATCACCTCGTTTCTACATCGCATTGGACGGCGGTCTCTGTCATTTGATGAGGGTCCCTCATCGTCTTCATCATCATCGGCGGCATCGCGAACAATGGAATTGGAACAATCGTTTGCACTGCGGCACTCGTTGGATGACCGCAAACTGCGCAACAAACGGCGGCTGGGTAGTCCAAAGTTCTTTGCCAAGGTAACATGGGTGGATACGCTGTCGCAGTTGGCAGGACTAGTGCCACTCAATCAGATTAGCGTCCCGGAGCCAGTATACGAGTAAGTTTTAAAATAATGTTTACGATCACATGCCGTGTTTGCAGGCGAGCTAAAAAGGGAAAAAAGTTTCTTTTTTTTTTGTTCAAGAAATGGAAAGTGCACGCGACCAATTCACGCTTTCCTTTTTTACTTCTTCCCACCTCTTCCTTCTCCCCCCTCCTTCCAAAATAGTTTTAGGGATATTTTTGAGCAAGGAGGAGGCAAAAAGAAAAAAGCTCACAATCTCGGTCTTAATACGAGATTCCAAGCTTCTCCTCTTTCTTTCTATTGAAATTATCCCGATATTTACCTCTGTTCTAGCACTACATACAATCCTCCCCCATCTCTTTACCCCCCCTTTTTCAGCTTTTGTATACGCTCAATATTTCTACTGTACTAATAACGCTCTCTTTTCTAATCATTATTCCCACACAACATTTCCTTCGTATAACGATGCTATTTTACCATAGATACGATATGAAGGTGGACGGCAGTAAACACCACACACCCACCCCCAATCCACAGCATAGTCGACAATCGCACATACAAGAGGAACCCGAGGAGGAAAGCCAAGCGTTTGGCGTGGCACTTGACAAGCTAGTAAGCAGCGATGGCGGCACGGTTGCAAGGATGCTGCCACGGCCGTTGCTCGAATGCATTTCGTATATTAGACGCGAAGGGTTAGACACGGAGGGGCTATTCCGCAGATCGCCGCCATCGACGTCGCTGCGCGCAGCCAAGGAGAGCTACAACCGCGGACAAGCAGTGGATCTGGAGCTGTCGGGAGGCGTGCATGTAGCGGCAGTGCTTCTCAAGCTGTTCTACCGCGAGCTGCCCGACGCAGTGTTTGGCGGCGGCTACGCGGTTGTGCGTGGGCTTCCGGTATCCAGCAAAGCTAGCAAAGCCAGCGACGAGGAAGCGGAAGAAGATAGCCAAGTGGTTGCGGAGCAGATGGACGCAGTACGTGCACGGTATGTCAAGGAAGAGGTGCTGGGAGCGCTAAGCAAAGAGTACCGACGCATCTTGTGTTGCACTTTTGCGCTTCTGAGCGTGGTTGCGCAAAGGGAAGCAGCGACCAAGATGACGGCGTATAACCTGGCGGTTGTTTGGGCGCCCAATTTGGCGCGGTCTGAGGA